CACATCGGACTCTGTGCTGACTGCCAGCTCAGAGCCTGGAGCCTGTTTCAGAGTCTGTGACTCCTTCTCTCTCTGACCCTCTCCTGCTCACGCTGTCTCTCTCTCTCTCTCTCTCTCCTAGAAATAAATAAAACATTAAAAATAAATAAATAAATAAAATAAAATAAAAAAATAAAATAAAATAAAATAGATCGAGGCAACCAGCTCCTGAAGTGGAGCCTCGTGATGGAAGGGTGGTGGACTGATACATCTACTCCCAAACTCAAATTAAAATACCCCCAAAAACATATGTATGAGCACATCCCCAGAAGTATTAATTTTGAGATGCATACACATGGCAGGGGGTGAGGAGAATTGTCACTATTTGCAACACCAAAGAAACTGGAGAAACACAATTACCACCCACCCTGAGAACTATAGTTTTACTTATGGCAGGAGGACATGGGCTCACCCTCATGGTTTGCCCCTTGCCAACAGGGACCTACAGGCTACCTGCCCAACAAATCAAGCAGTCACTCCCTATTTTGTAACAACTGTTTTCCATGGTGACCTATCCCCCAACCCAATCCAAACCCAGCCCAGCAGCACCCCTTTACTAAGCTCAATTAGGGAACACCACTTTCCAGGAGCAACGAGAGCTATGGGTTACTGTGTCCCATCCTGGATTATTTGGGGGGAGGAGGAGAAGCAGAGCGTACCTGGGGTCACTGAATGCTTGATACTAGTTGGGGAATAGGAAGAACAAGTCAAGGGAAAAACAAAGGACTTACACAAATCTGTCACACAGGAAGCAAACCCAAGAGTAGGGGCAATCAAGAACCCACCTCCAGGGGCACCTGGGTGTCTCAGTAGGTTAAGTGCCCAAATTTAGCTCAGGTCATGATCTCATGGTTTGTTGAGTTCAAGCCCCACATCAGGCTTACTGCTGTAGCTCAGAGCCTTCTTCCGATCCTCTGCCTTCCCTCTCTGCCCTTTCCCAGCTTGTGCTCTCTCTCAAAAATATATAAAACATTAAAAAAAAAAATATCCTACCTCCACCCAGACGCCATGGACTATATGAGTGTCTTCTAGAAACTAGACTGTCCAGCTGGGGCTCACAAGGGGAAAATTATCCCAGGTCCAAGATAAAATGAAGATAGAACAAAGAAACTAACAATTCTTTACAAACCCTGTTTGCTCGCAGATTCTGGGTCCGCAAAGAACTTTATTGAGTCACAAAGCGGAACAGAAAAAAGCAAAAGGAACCATACAAAAACATCGTCTAATACAAAGGAAAGGTAGCATCACCTGGAAGACGTGGGGGAAAGGCTTGCATATATGTGTATCTGTAAACATTATGACAAGAAACAGAAGAGATTTTCACAAACTGTGTCCAAGTTGTCCTCAATAAGACAAAGAGTTGAGAGAGGATAAACAAATATGGCCCCAGTAAAGCAAGAAGACAGAGCGACGAGGAAAGCACACCCTAAGACTAATGTAGCAACAAAAAGGGGAATGGCCAGATCATACCCTTATAGCTGTAAGCTGGCAACAACCCAAATACCCACGGAGAACAGAACAGATAAATAATTGTGGTTATTTGTAGATGACGGGATACCATGGAAGTGAATCCACTTCAGCTCCCTTCAAAAACATGGCCAAGTCTCATAGATACATTGAAGAAAAGAGGACAAAAGAACAGATACGGCATGCCCCCCCCCCACCACCGAGATGAAGGGAAATGCAAACACCATGAAATGCTGATAGGAAGCCAGGGTGGTGGTGGTCTTTGAGGGAGAGGCATTGGAAAGGGCCTTGGGGATGCTTCAGTGGGCTAATACTACTACATTCCGTAGCCTGGGTGGTTGTTGCATGAATGTTCGTGTTCAATAACTGAACTGTGCGTTAATACTTCCCTATATTCTATTTTAACCAAAAAGGTGTTTTTTTTTATTTTTAAAGGAAGGAGGCAGGCACATGGGTGGCTCAGTCAGTTAAGCGTCAGACTCTTGATCTCAGCTCAGGTCGTGATTTTGCAGTTCATGAAATCAAGCCCCGAGATACTGCTAATAAATTTTGTATGTATATAAATTCCCAGGTATACTGCAAATTCCTTGAGAACAGGCAATGAATATTATACCTATTTCATTTCCTCCTCTACCCAGAAAGCATTTGGGCAAACATTTCTATAATGAATGAATAAATGAGAACAGACAAATGAATATATACGAATGAATGAATGAATGAATGTATGAATGAATGAATGTCTCCACCAATTCATCATTGCTGAGTTTGTTTGTTAGGTGATTTCCAACTCCAGTCTGGCCAACTTGATGCAGGTTTGCATGATTTCCTCCAGACCTTTGTTTAAAGAGAAGAAATAGAAACTTTCCAGAGTATATGTCATCTGGAGATAAGTTGCATGGTGAGTGGCTCTTTCCACACCTCTTCTCAGAAAGTAACCACTCACGGAATGGGTGAGTTTGTCCCTTCCACTGAAGGAAAGGGACATTCCATCCCTGGTGACAAACAGTAGCCAGGTAGGGAACCTGTCCCCTCGGTAGTTCATATACAGGGGGTTGCAGCCGCTGCGGGGTAAGGAAGGGGGTGCAGTGAGGGAAGATGGTGCCCAACTAATGGATCACAAAGGATGCTTTGACGCCCATCAGTGTCCAACGCATCAACTCCCTGTGCAACACCATGTTTCCTCGGAGGAAAAAGGGGTGTCCCCAAGCAACAGGAAACAGGACTTTAGGGCTCAGAGAAGAGCAAAGAGGCAAAGCCTCAGAAACTTGCCTTCTCCAAGAACCACCTACGCTTCGTTTTCAGACCCTACCTGCTTGCTCTGAACTCAGCGCACATCTGCACAGCCCTGCCCGGGGCCCCAAGATGCTCGTAATAAAGCATGAGCAGTCATAACTCAGGGTTCACCTTGGCCAAAAGTAAATAAGTAAAAGGAATCTTCCATCAGAAAATAAATGGCCCTTCTCCAAGCTGAGAGCTGGATTACCCTCCTGAAGGACAACACGGTGTCTTTAGCAGCTGGCCTCAGGCCTCAGGCTATAAAGTCTGGCTGTACTTCATCAGGGACCCCGCAGGGCCCCCTGGCTAAGCCTGCCCTTCTCGGCTGAGGGCTGTCAGAATCTCTCCCGGCTCTTCCTGTCTGCTGAGAAGGCACCTTCCAGCCCTGCTCAGCTGCCTGGGACTCACTGAAACTCGCTCCTGAGCTCGGCCACTTGGCCAGGTACATGGAGGGCAGTTCCACTGGGCACCCCAGGGCGGGGGGGGGGGGGGGGGGGGGGGGGCACAAAATCCAGCCCGCAGCCCTCTTGAAAAGCTGTGCACCCTGGCAGTGGCCCAGATTAAACAGAGAAAAAGGCCGATGCTCGGAGGAGAAATCATCTCTTGATTATTCATGGCTACGTTGGGAGGGAAGGGGGAAGCCAGGATCTGGGAGAGCCGCAGGCGATTTCCAAACTTCCTTGGGTGAGCAATCTCGGCCTCTTCCAGAGTTACCCTTAAACACAAGGACTTTCTACTCAGGTCTCATGGCCTCTACTCACGGAGGCTTCCAGCCCCTCCTGCGGATGACTAAGCCCAGGGACCTACTCAACCAAACACAAACGCAAAGACACCCCCAAATCAATGTACCACTTCCCTAATCTCTCCCGGGAGTAGATTCCCCCAGGTGCAGGGGGGTCTGGGCCCCGCTCAACACATTAGCTGAGCTTTGGCCTTCTTTCTGGTCACCTGGCTTTGGGGGCAGTCGGGTCTCTACTGCCTGCTTCTCCGTCCTGTGTCTGAATGTCCTCTGGCCAACTGAAGCTGAGGAGGTTCAAGGGTCCTGCTCTCCCCTCCTGCCACCAGCCTCTGACCAGGCGGGGGGTGAGCTTGGTTCTGCCACATCACTCCAACTTCCTGTATCATGCCCCGGCCTCCCCTGGGGACCCACCCCGCCAGCCTCTGCCACCTTCCTGTTTGCTGACATAAATAAGCCAGTCTTTTAGATAAGCAAGCAATCAAAATGGACAAGAGCAGGAAAAGCTATCAGATGACCCTGTCCCTCCGCCTTCCCCAACTGCCCACACCGCAGCGAGCTTGGCTTCGCTGGCCCAGAGCTGGATTTCCCCGCCTTCGTCTTGTGAGGAATGGCCGTGAGGCGGCCATCTTGCACAGAGACAGCACACTGGCCAGACCATTTCACTTCAAAGCAAATAGGTGGGCCCTCTGGGTTAACTGTGGCTTCTCTTTAGAAAGCAAATTTCAATTCTGTGCTTTACAATGGTGTTTACAAGGAACACAGCATTCCTAAACACGGGGGGAGGGGGGGAAATGGATTCTGGCTCAGCCTCCGCAGATGTAGCACCTAGGCAGACATCTGGCCGATTCCACCTCATTCTCCATTCTAGAAGAAATTAAGTCCTTCTTCCTCTTTTTAATTTTGCTGTTTAATCAGGGGGTTAGTGTCCTAGTGAGGATACAGCAGGGCAAGTTCCCAGGATGCATTTAGTCACGCTGCTCCCATCCCTATCCTTGTCCTGAACACCCAGGACTACACCGTGTAACAAAGGAACAGAGGCAATTAAAATAATTGCTGTCCATTCCCACCTAGCCAGGGCTTCCAGAGGATTCTGTCGTGGGCAGGATTCAAAGCACCGTGGCCCCAAGTCAAGAGACAGCCATTAGCAGGGCTTAAAACCTCCCCTACATCTGGGCCCTGCGTAAATGACAGTATGGAAACACGACAACGCCATTCCAGATAAAGATTCCATAAGCCGGAAACTGTATTTTGGGAGCTGAAGGCTGTCCCCCCGGGTCAGTGTACAAAGAAACCATGGCAAGGTCAGTCCCGCACAAAGAAGTCATTTATGCAGAATTTATCTCTGAACACTTGCCCGTCGCACTGCGGTTAGACTTGGCCACAACTGGTGGCCAGGGCCTGGCGCTTCCGCCTTAGACGCACGACAGCCTCAGATGTCTCCCGTGGGTGGCCAGTCTCCCAGACAGGGCGGGCTCCTTACCGTCCAGCTCCTCCACGGAGATATTAGCAAGCTGCTCGCTGTCGCTGCCGGCGGAGAGAGATCGGTTGAGGTAATTCCCCTTGTACAGCAAGCCAGCGGTCACATGGTGGAAAGGCATCTTTTCCCTGTTCATGGAGAAGCGAGAGTGGGGAGAGAAAGAGATCACCATTCGTTCCTTCTTCCCTTCCTGAAAGGACCACCTTGGTTTTCAGATGGCCAGTGGTCGTTTTTAAAATAACAATCGCACTTCTAGAGGGAAAGTCAGATGATTCCAGGGTCCCCGGGGCCTAAACCATCCCCAAATGACCTCAAGTCTATGGATTTCTTTGCTTTACATCTTCCTTCATTTTACCGATTTAATCGTGAACTTGAACCATGTGGTCCTTGGAGGCTGCAGGCCGCCATGTCATTATCACGTCCTCATCCTCTCTGTGCAAAAAAAGAAGCCTCCCTGCTCCTTTCCTTGGCCTGATAAACTCTTTCTCGGTGCTCCTTAAGGAACGCACACCCCAGAAGTGCTGAGCTCCCCAGGCACCGGGCGTCTTAGCTGTGACCGTGTGAACATCCAAGGGTTTGGCTCTTCCCAGGTAAAGCAGGGGGGCCACTCACACAGCACCCGAATCGGGTAGGAAACGGCAGGCCCTATGTAAACACGTTGCAGCCTTCTGCCTGGCTGGGATGCGGACACCTGCTGCCCAAAGCAACTCATGGGCACAGCCCTCTGAGACGCCGCTCACACCACCCGCCCCGCCGGAAAGGTGCGTGGCACTCAGGTGTCCCAGGACAAAGCAGCTTCCAGAATCTTACAGGGAATTACAGCATCCCTTCGACCAGCAAAGCTCCTCTACCCAGACACCAGCCCTGGGGCTTAAGAGCTCCCAGCAGGGCGATGCAGGCTAAGGAAAGAGGGAGGAAGGAGGCAGCGTAAGGAGACTGGAGGAGCAAGTGCAGCAGAGAAACACAAGGCAGTTAGAAAGGGAGCGAGAGAGCCGCTGAGGATGTCAGGAAGAATGTTCTGCTTCCCTATCTGGAAAGGGGGCTAAGGGGACTGCTCCCCCTTTGAGTGGAATTAGGGAATCGGTAGGGAGTACGGGGAGTCGATTACAGGCTGTGAGTAAGAAAACACATCTTAAGAGAGCTTCTGGAAGGTGAACTGGGCAGCATTGAAAGGAGTAATCTCCCCACCGCCGGAGGCATGCAAGAAGTGAGGGCCTCTGTGCCAGGGTTCTGTGGGAGAGAAACGACCCCTGAGCTCTCTCCCCCACACATCCCTCACTCTCCACAGAAGCCACTTGAGCAGTCTTATCGCTTACTACAGTCTGCAGCTGCATGCTAAGCGGGAGCAGCCCATGGCCCGTCCAGGCACTGCTGAGTCCAAGCTGTGATTACAGGAATACAACTGCCCCAATCGTGGGATGCTGGAGCCAGCAGGCACCAGTAGCGGGGACCCTATCTTCTTTCCCCCCACCCCGGACACCCCTGAGTCGCACCCCCCACCCTCTCTCCCTCCAGTCCAGAGCACACGCCAGCATGTCCCTGTTTGAGCTGAGAGCCGTGGATGTACAAACTAACCAACGAGACCCCTAAAAGTTACGCGGCTTGAACCGGGGTGCAACGTCGGTCAGTAGAAGCAGCAGTTCTAGAACACAAGCCTCCTTCGTGCTATTTCCACTAGGCATCATCAGCTAAGCACCAGACATTGCCACCGGATGTCAAACTCTCATTTCAAACTCAAGATGTCTAAAAACGAATTAATTATCTTCCTGAAAAATAGGCCACGCTTCCTGATTTCTCTATTTCTATCAAAGGTACTTTTCACTCATCATAACAACTGGGGCATCTCTCACAAATGTTCTGGGCCCCCAAAAAGTAAAACAGACACATGGCTGAGGCAAGAGCCAGCCATCAGGCTCCGAACCACACTTACCCCTCCCGGGCTAACAAAACCTACAGCCGTGAGCCAGTCACAGGCGGCAGGATGCTAGTTACAAAGCACATCTGCATTGGACGATTATAAGGGGAACAAAACAAACGTCCTCAGCTAATTAGAAGTCAGACGTCCCCTTCCAAGCTGAATCTATCCTTACGCATAAAATACAAGAATCTTTCAGGGTGTCTGGGTGGCTCAGTCGGTTAAGCATTCAACTTTGGCTCAGGTCATGATCTTGCAGTTCATGGGTTCGAGCCCTGTGTCGGGCTCTGTGCTGACAGCCTGGAGCCTGCTTCAGAGTCTGTGTCTCCCACTCTCTCTCTCTCTGCCTCTTCCCCCACTCAGCACATATGCAAAAGCATCCTTTTCCCCTTTCACCGCTCATCATTCTATAAACATCTGCCCATTATGAAATTTTCACCGGGCTCTGGGTACACTGTGCAAATGTTTACAGCCACAGTGTCAAGGTTATACTCACTCCGATGCAATCCAAGCCCCTCCCCACTTCAGCCACAGAATACATGTCGCGTACTTTGCAGAGAAAACTGGCCACAAATGAATCGCATTTGATATACCGACATGATATGCTTCTGGAAAACGCAGCTTACAAAATTAGGCACACGTTCAGTACATTCAGTCTGCACCCAAAACGCTCCACATATAGTGGCAAAAGAAACGTGCAAGTGAACCCTGCGTATGGATAAATGGAGTCATGTTCAACAAAGGGATGAATTTAGTTCCAAGGAAGCTAAAAACAGCCGCTGCTGTGATTAAGAACTAAGTTTCACTCCACGCCACCTGGGGAAACCCAAGCTTTAAGATGGTCTCTTTTGGGGCCCCTGGGTGGCTCAGTCGGTTAAGCATCCAACTTCGGATCAGGTCATGACCTTACAGTTTGTGGTGTTCAAGCCCTGCAACAGACTCTGAGCCCAGCTCAGAGCCTGGACTCTGCTTCAGATTCTGTGTCTCTCCTTCTCTCTCCCCTCCCCTGTTCATGCTCTGTCTCTCTCTGTTTCTCAATAATAAATGTTAAAAAATATATATTAAAAAAAAAAGATAGTCTCTTTGGCTAAGGGAGGGAAACACATCCAAGTTCATTAGCAAAGACAAACATGATCCTAAATTGCAACCATAAGATGGATTCTTCTTTCCAAAAAAAAAAATTTGGGGGGGCACTTGGGTGGCTCAGTCAGTTAAGCATCTGACTTCAGCTCAGGTCATGTTCTCAGTCTTTGGTTCGAGCCCTGCATCGGGCTCTGTGCTGATTGCTCAGAACCTGGAGCCTGCTTCAGATTCTGTGTCTCCCTCTCTCTCTCTGCCCCTCCCCACTGGTGCTCTGTCTCTCAAAATTAAATAAATGTTAAAAAAATTTTTTAAAAACATTTTTTCAATGGCAATTTTATTCATTGATATTATTTGACTATCATGGGAACAATTTTTTTTTTATGTAAGGCAGGGCGGTTTCATGGTAAGGAATCAGAACTGTGTGGTCAAATCCGGTGTTGGGACTGAAATTCTAGCTCTTGCCCTTGTTAGCCATGCAGGTAAGTGGCTAACCTCTGTTAGTAACACTCTGCTGCTCTGCACCTATGGGTTTTGATATACACTGGACAGTATTTTTGTAAATATGAAAAAAGATAAAGTACAGAAAGCACCGGATTTAATACTAGACGTACTCTCAATAATAACGGTGATTATCTGCTAAAGATTATATGAAGCAGGATGCAGGGCAAAGAGGCCACGGATTCGTTCGGTTGAAAACAAACACACTGGGGTATTAAGAGGGGGTCAAGAAGGACCTGGCAGAGGGTGAGCTCCCAAGAGAAGCGGAGTGGCATTGCGCATCCAAGTGCTGAGGGACCTATGTGTGAGCAGCAGGGCACCGGGGGTCCAAATGCCACGTGCCGTCAGCAAGCAGCCTGCTGTATCGGGAGCAAGGAGCTATTTGAATGGAAAGCACCAGAACTGAAGATGAGTCTGCTTCCTGGGCACCAGGGAGGCTGGCTGCATGGTCACCTCAAAGACAAGGTATCAGGAGGCTAAAAAGGGGGCAGGTATAGGGGGAAGGGTGAAACAGGTGAAAGGAAGCAAGAGCACACTTATCTTGATGAGCACTGCGTAACCTGTAGAACTGTCGAATCACTATGTTGTACACCTGAAACTAATATAACACTATGTGTTAACTATACTAGAAATAAAATTAAAAAGATGGAGGGAAGAAGGAAGGAAGGAAGGAAGGAAGGAAGGAAGGAAGGAAGGAAGGAAGGAAGGAAGGAAGGAAGGAAAGAGCAGTTCCTGTTTAGGGTCAAGGGACCGCCATGTTTCCTGGCAGATTTAACAAGAGGAGACCCACTCACATTGACTTGAGACGATGCCCTTCCAGGATGGTTAATTTCATGTGTCCACTTGACTGAACATGATTCTGGGTGTATCTGTGAGACCATTTCTGAATGAGATTAGTGTTTCAATCAGTAGACTCAAGGGGGGGAAAAACTGCCCTGCCCAAGGTGGGTGGGCCACATCCAATCTGCTGGAGGCAAGAACAGAACAAAAAAGCAGAGGAAGGGAGAATGCGTTCTCTCTACCTAACTGCTAAGCTGGGCCACCATCTTCTACCTCAGACTGGCACTTACACCACCGGCTTTCCTGGGTCTCCAACTTGGCAGCTGCATTTCACGGAGCCTCTCAGCCTCCATCACCGTGTGAGTCAATTCCTTATAATAAATCTCTCTATATGTATCCCTATCGGTCACGTTTCTCTGGAGAACCCAGACTAGTGCACCTGCCATGTTTTTGTCTATAGTATCAAAGACCCAGGCATACTGCAGTGGACTGATATTATTATTCTGGACAAACACTGTACCAAAATGTAATTCTGCAGGGACTCTAAAGCAGGGCTCCTCCAAAGTGTGATGTGTGGACCACTGCCAATAAAATTCTACTTATTGCTGGTCTGCACTGAGATAAGGACAGGAAGTGAACGAAAGCATAGAAATTTTTATAGCAATTTGTAGCATTGTCCCAATATCTAAGCAGGTGACCAGTTGACTTCATGTTCCACCTAATCCTTCCCCACAAATAGTTTGAGAAGCAAGGCTCTAAAGTATTTTATTTAGGTTGTATAGGTTCTGGTAATGGACCTCGGCGGGGGGTGGGGAATCTAGAGAAATGCATTTTACCTTGGGGCGCCCAGGT